GTTTCATTTTTCAGCCATGGAGGTTGTGCCTCGGGTCAGACCCAGCAATTGGTCTTGATGTTAAGCTTCCAGCTCCTAGCTTTATCTTATTAGTAGGCTATTTAACAAAGTAGGCAATCTTCTCATCTAACTCTCTGGCAGCATGCAAGGATATCTGCAAGGATATCTGTAAGGACAAGAAAGACATAGAGCAACGTTACATATCTCTCGGTTTCCCAATCCAGTCTAATTCTTGAGAATATCCATTTTTGACCCCTCGCCAGCATCAGCCAGAGTCTCCTTGTCACCTGAACACTGGAGACTTACAACAAAGGGCAATAAATGGTTTTGCTGGTCCAGGTCATTACTTTGAAAAGGGGACTTCCATCCCTAAGGGATGTAATGGATTTTAATTCCAACTCAACCAGCGTGACCTGTGTTTGACATATCTGTAATAGCTCAGCACTGGCCCCAGCCAGGTTACACCGGCCGCCCTCCTGCACTGGATGGAGTATTGATCCATCGCAACCACTCATTACGTTCAAGCTGCCTCCACTAATATCAGAGTCATGGCGGCTTTGCCATAGCCTGCTGAAAACTGACCACGGCCCTGCAGTTGTCAGGGAAACACGCTCTGTTTGGGTCTTGAGGAGCAAAGGACGAGCTGCTCTTTTTCCACGCTGTGGTAAGGCGACCGACTGGAGGACACAGACAGTGGCACCACACTTCACAGTCACGCTCCCGCAAGCACATTCTCACATCCCGGCGAGCACACACAAATAAACATGCCCACACATGCCGTTTGCATTCATTTGGTTACCGCGTATCAGTGCGCTGCCTTTTCTTTACTGCTCTGTTTTGGCCTGGGCCTCGTGTTTGGGGTTTGGAGAAGTAGTATTGCTGCTTCTGTGCCGGCTCCTCCTCCACATTTAAAAACAGGACTTGGACGACAAAGAGATACGAGATGAAAACACAAGCTGCTATTTTTAGCCCCGCGGGATGTGAGGCTGCAACCACAGCCACCGTGCTCGCCTTGCGTCGTCAGCTGCCTCAGTTATCATGAGCTGTGATGACAGCGAACATCTCTGGTTTGTTCGGGAAACACAACAAATCTTGCACTGGAGCTGTACTGGACACTTTAGGATAGACTCCAGGAAGAAAATGAATTGATGGAAGAAATTAGAAATCATAAAGGAAAAAAAACACTCTTGCTGAAAACACTGTGAAAGACCAGAGAAAACTGCACTTTACACCAGTTTTCACAACACATCGTCCCACTTACGCTTTTTACTTTTGATGGCAGTGATCTTATTGCCATCTCTGCGCCTGATTGGCTTCATTATCTTCCTGCTGATCTGTGAGGCTGTTTCTGCTCCTTGACACAAACACCCCCTCCAAAATGAATAGAGGCAAAGCGTTCCTCACTGCGTTTTATCATTACAAGTTAGGCTGATCCTCGCCTGTTCCCTCAGCCTCACCTGTCACAAATTATCAGTTCATCTTCATTGTACAGATTAGCTGTACAGCATGTTTAATTTGGATGCAAATCCCCCCCCCAAACCTTGACAGCAGTGTAATTAATTTTTTTTCTATTCACGTTTCTATTTTAGGTTACACAAGCTGTGTAAGTGCTGGAAAAAGTGTAGAGTAAACACCACATGGAACAAATGACTTAACGCTGTACAAAATACTGTTGCAAATCCATCAACATTGCACTGCTCCACTACGGGGTCACATTAGATTGCATGCTAATTATAAGCATGCAAATTAAAATGGGGCCTGACAATCAGCACTTTGATATGTGAGCTTTCAAAGCAATATGGGGACAACAAGCACGGCTCCAAAGCAGCCAAATCATCATCAGAGCCCCGAGGTTCAGGTGCGTCAGTCAAAAAGCATCAAATACATCAGAGCGGAATTTCACTGAAAATCATTGCAGCATAACATAATAAACAGCTTCAGGAGAGGCAGTGATCACATGGGGAAATTGATTTGTCTGTAAATTCTTTTAAAAATGTGTTCACAGGGATTTAAAAAACTGTTTTAAAAAAGAGCTCAGGAGGAGCAAATCGAACAGCAGCCACTGTGTGAAGTAAATCTACACTGAGTCTGTGGAAATGTTCCAAGGTTAAATCAGTGATCTTAACAACATAACATAAACTCACTGGCCATTTCATTAGGTATACCTTTTCAAGCGCTCTCAAATCTCTATCGGCCAATCACATGGAAGTGTGTCTATGCATGAAAACATGTTCAAACCGAGCATCGGATGGGGAAGAAAGGTGATTGAAGTGACTTTGAACGTGGCATGGTTGTTGCTGTCAGGGTAGTCTGAGTATCTCAGAAAATGCTGATCTACTGGGATCTCTGGGGTTTACAGAGAATGGTCAAAAAAGAGAAACTACCCAATAAGCTGCAGGTCTCTGGGTGAAAATCTCTTGTTGATGCCAGAGGTCAGAGCAGGTCAGATGCAGTGAAGAGTGAAAAGTGGGTTAGAAAAGTAAACTGTGTAGTAAAAGATCCAGAGGACTGAATGACAGTAAAGGTTGCACGATCTGATATCGTCGTGTTGGTGTTGTTCCTAGATCAACATAGTAAATGTTGATCCAGGATCAATCAGAATGTTGTGGCTTCATACTTTTGCGACTTCAGGAAAAAACGCCGTAAAACAAAAAACTGTACTTAAGCTGCGAGAAACCGCCTCTGTCCGCCGATCAACGGACCCAGACCCTGACCCTAACCCTTTAATAAACGCTAAGCAGAATTGATATTGTCCTTGCAACATTGGAATTTCATAAATGCACGAATGGCTTGAGAATAACGTCACAACAATGTGATTGGTCACTTGCAACGACACCAACACGACGATATCAGATCATCCGTAAAGGTTTGACTTTTGCCACATTTCTGAGGTGAAGGAAACAAGGTTGGATGAGCTTAGAGTTTTAAAATTCAGTTGTTGTTCAAAGATGACACCAATAATCCAAATACCCGGAAGCTGATATCATTGCACTACCTGATGACACTTTTGAGCTTTGGGAAATATGCCGGTACTTTCCAAGCATGAGACAAGTCCAACTTCCTGAAAATCTTTGCTGGTGAATGTGCCAAAACTGATTTCTGATGTTTATATTCATTTTTCCAAATGTATATCTTTGCTTACATTGGTAAATAGACTTTAGTCAACAGAATTTATTAAAGTATTATATATAAAATTATCTTTATGACATTATTTTACCAACTTCATATCACTCTTTAAAAGTTATATATTTTTAACATCAATGACACTTTTTAGCTGGATAAATAAAGGATATATAAAACTCACTTTCTACCTTGTGACAGGAACGTTATTTGTGGCTCAGAATGATTTGATGACATTGGTTTGACATGTGCTTCACAGATTATAGGCCGACAAGTCATTTACAACAGCTTGAATGTGGGTGACCATCTTTTGGCACAACACCAGAAACTTCAAAGTGATCACAAGAAAAGAGGTCTTGGGCCACACAAGCCCCTTTTAAGATCACAACCTGTGCCGCTTTTCATTTCATTTAAAGGAATATAATAAACCTGAATGTAATGTGTTGACCGGTGAGCTCCAAATGTGGCAGAAAACAGATTTGGGTTTTTATACAGAGCCCAGCTTTCCACGCTTCCAGCATTCATGTTAAGCCAAGCTAAGCAGTTTCTAGTTCCAGCTTCATAGTCATTATTAGTCATTCTCATCCCCAGCTACTAAACTGTATTTCCCCAGATGTTAGACTACATTTGAAAGATCCTCATCACACCGTTGTCTAAAGTGCAATGCCGTTTGTGCATTACAGCAGTCTGCATCTAATAAGAACAACCCTGTTTGTTGCAAAGTTAATTTCCAATGTTTGTCTGTTAAATTATATTAAATTGGATTGAATTATGTTTCACTGAACTGAACTGAGGCGGTTTCACAGAGTCTAGGCCCTTCATTAGCAGTGTGTGGGAACACCAGAGGTTATGTCTGCTCATCCCTTGATCCGCTGTTGCCTTTTTCATCTTTTCAACATTCTCCCAGGCCTGCGTTTGTGTTCTCATTTCCTTCCCTCAGTATATCTTTTTTCCCCAGCCCCTGAACTTCCTCTATTTGCCTCTCCCTCTTTTATCAGATCAAATGTTTATACATTAATTTCATGCTGTTACAGGCAGCAGGTCGGCAGTGGTGAGCCCAGTGATACACATTTGGATAGAGGGATGGTTCCTCACGTTTCTATTAAAACTAATGGCCCTCAGTAAGGTGCAAATAGACCCACGTGCACTGTGTGCTTTGATTACATTTTGAATTATGCTTTGAAAACCATTAGCATGAACAAAATGTTGCTTTTTTTTGCCACATCAGAGCACCGCGTTCCCTTTTTTCCTCTCCTGACAGAAGGTTGTGCGTTTTCTTTTCCCCAGCCTCCGTCTTTGTCCTTGAACAGCGTGCAGTGTTTTACTGCGGGGTCATCGTGTTTTATGACTTTGTTCAAAGCTGTAAGATTCCCAGAACCATGTCTACTCGAGGAATTCATACACTGCACTTTGTAACTGCAAAGGGAAGCAAACTGTGACAGAGCAAAGTTCTGTTACATAAAGAGGGAAAAAAAATTAACCGAGGCTGATGGGATTATCGTTAGTCTTTTAATCTGTCATGAATCAAAGTATTGGATTGAAATTTCTCTTTGATGATGACGCTGGTGGCAAAGTCATCAGTTTGTCCTGAAGGGGAAATTAATGTCCGCACCCAATTTCACAAGAATGTATTCATGAGCCGATGAGCCATTTCACTCAGAACCACAAATAACCTCATCGTGGCATTTGAGGAAATGTCAGACTTTGACAAAGCCATTAGGACACACTGCCTGGGAACCTTACACATCTGCAAAGTCTTCCATCTAATACGTCAGCATACCCGAGAGACCATGTCAGTTCTTAAGCTTGACTAAAACGGGTCTTGGACGTACTCATATGTTTGCATATTTATGTGTTTCTCTACATATCTGTCCTTTCAGGAATGGCTGGATTTGCGCTGCAGAGGTGTTCGTAATGCCAACGCATACATCCTGGTGTATGACATCTGCTGCGTGGAGAGCTTTGAATACGTCAAAATGATCCGACAGCAGATAGTAGAGAACAGGTATGGTCACAAACACTCTCTGCTGACAACGCAGATGTTCAACATACCGTCCAAAAGCTTCAAACCAGGACTGTCAAACTCATTGGACATCATGCATCACATACATACAGCCTGCTTTGATCTTAAGTGGGCCAGACCAGTGAAACTACATGATAAATATATGAAATTACAGAAAAATGTTTAGTGGTAGTTAATTTACCAGACACTCCTTCGATTTTTTTTTATTTTAAAATATTAAAGTTTTGTTAAAGTTTTGTGTTATTTTAAAATATTAAGCTTTTGTTAATTTACAAAACAGAGATTTTCCTGTAAATTAAGCATTTATCTATTGGGGGGGAGGAGGGGGGGATTTTTTTCCATTGGAAATTCTTCGTCCTGGGCCTTGTGTTTGACACCCGTGCTTTAAACCCTATATTTAATTGAAAACTGAACCACAATGACGCTGTCAAGACTCACAGGCATTACTGTTTTCTAATTTAAAAAAAAAAAAATCTAGGACAGGGACAACAAAAGACCAGAAATATTACGTAATGCTGAAAAAAAAAAGCTGTTGGAACATCTCAGAGCTAATTAGGTTAATTAGCAACAGGTTAGTAACATAAAAGAGCCCACAGAGGCTGAGCCTTTCAGAACTGAGAATTAAGAGGACGGTGGGTTTACCACCCTTTTTTTTTTAAACAAATAAATGCATAAGAATAATGTTTAGAACATAAAAATTACAACACGTTTGGGGGTTTTTATCATCAAAGTACAAAATACCAAAAAATAAAGGCCCAGCATGTGAAAATGTGGAAAAGAAAGTTTTAGCTTGTAGAGCCACCTTTAGCAGCAATAACGTAAAGTAATAGTTTTCTGTGGGATTTTTATACAGAGCCCAGCAGGCTCTCACTTTGACTTTTTTTTAACTTTAGCTCCACTCTTCTTTACAACTTTGCTTCAGTTCATTGAGGTTTGTTAGCATTAGCTCTGTCAAGAGTGCACCACAGCAGCTCAAGCAGGTTGAGGTCTATGCTTTGCCTGGAACATTGCAGAACTTTGTTTCTGTTCTTTTTCAGACATTCTGTTGTAAATTTGCTCCTTTGCTTGGGATCGTTGTCCTGTTGCATGGCCCAATTCCAGGCAAGCTTTAGCTGTTGGAAGACGGCATCTAGAATACTTTTCTACTGAATACTGAGTCATTGATTGCAAGGTAAAACAAGCCCAAGGTGACACTTGACGGTTGTACTAACTAGAATTTGTCAAGGTTTCCCTGAGCATTGCACAGTCTGACCTTGGAGTGAAATTGGTCGGACATACACTCCTGGAAAGACTGTGACATTGTCTTAACAAACAGCTACATTTGACTAGCAGCACCTGGCTGTTTCTTACCATCTTATTTCCAGTGGAAGCAGTAATGATGTTTAGTTTTTCACAGAAATTCTAGTGTAGTCGAGTCATGCATAGGATTGGACTATTCAGATTGTTATCAGTGCACAGCTTAAAAAGCCAACATCCATACTGTAATCGTATAGAAGATCATTAGTGCACATGCCATAAGTAACTTACACCTTTGAAGGCTCCGTATGCATGTTTTGGAGCAACGTGTGCTGCCATCCAGAGGGGGTGTTTCTCAGGAAAGGCCTTGTTTATTTCATAAAGAGTGCGAAACCAAATTCCACTTGTATTACGGCAACATGGCTGCATAGAAAGATAGAGGCAAGTATTAAACATGCTCCTGTCTCAACCTTTTAAAAAATATGTTGCTGAAATCAAATTCAATAAAAAAAATTATTTCAACAATTCATGTGTTGTTTTTGTGCTGTTTTCATTTGAATATAAGTTTGAATGATTTGCATTTCATTTTTAACTAAATGTAATACAACAATCCTGCTTTTGTTTGTTAAACCGCTGACACACAGCTTGTTATCCTTCACTGATGATTTGTAATGAAATCATCCCGTCACCCGTCTGAAGACAGCACACAATTTCACAGCCTGTCACAAAGCTGTACAATTACATGATGGTGACAGTGATTTTTAGGCTTCTTGTGGTGGTATCTTTCAATTTAGCATGCGCGCTCGTCGTGATGACAGTTCACTGTCTGATGACATTTGATTCTTGTGTGATGCCTAAACCCACACTAGTAATTTAAAGGCTATTCTTGGGACAGTCGTCCGTTTAGTGTACAGAAGGCCCACAGATAACATACAGTAAATGCTTCTTGGATTTGCTTTGCACCTGCTGCGTATGGGGCCAGAAATCCCTCGCTCTCCAGTCGTCAGCTGCATGCATATATTTACATATAGAAAGGTGCATTGGGTGGCTTCATTTGTTTGCCGTGTTGTACAACACCAAACTGCCTCTCCACAGTTGATGCCCACTTTCTCGCAGCTCTGAATGTGTAACCACGAATGTTTATGATCTAAGACAGAAACCTATTATCCCCAGCAACTATGGAAGAAATGGTGAATGTGAGAGGAATAGACAATAGGGGGGAAATGTGCAATCATGGAGAGTCTAACATTAGACTGGAGAAGGAAAGGAAAGGAAGGGGAGGAGAAGGGGGCAGATACTGTAAGAGGAATCATTAATAATCGAGTTTTGGAGGAGTTTTTTTTTACTCTGTGTGTCAGCTGTCGAAAAAAAAAGAGTCTATTGTTGAAATGTTCCTCAGCAATCTTTTATTATTCTGGTTCCCACTAGCGAGGAGCCTACCTTCAGTTCAGTGAGGCTTGTGACAGTGTTGTCCTTCCATCATTCCTACCCCCCCCCCATTCTCATGAAGGGATGTACGCACACCGCCTCCCACATTCAGTACACCTCATTGTGCACAAGTAGTCAAGCCCGAGCAGATATGCAAGGAGATATTTTTAAGGCTGTTATGTGAGCACAACCTGTGAAAAGGAGAAAAGTGAGATGATTGCTGCCGTGTGGTTGTTCAGCTCCCAAGTTTTGAGAACTTCGCCTCGGGGCTTGAAAATTGCACCGCTCATCTCTCTCAGGCTGCATCGCCTTCTCTTCGGCGAGCCATTTTGTCCATCTGTCGAGGCAGACGTGCAAATATGCAAAAGTATGCAAAAGTCTTTGTCATACAAAATAAGCCATCATTCGTTCTGAGAGAAAGAGCTAAGTTGTTAAGGCAGCTGTTTAAACAGTTTATACACTTGTCTTTTCTAGATGTTCTGAGTTCAACATCGGTTGTTACAGCTTTTCCTAAATAGTTTATATTCTAAGGCTTTTTTAAATTATTATTACAAATCATTAACCCAATGACCTTGCCTCCTAAATAAGCAGCAAAATTAATATTATTGTTATCATCAACACTTCATTTTACTCTAAACTCCTGCAGCTTAATTTCCCACACTGCTGCACTAAACTTCTTTTCATTTAAACACTTCTAAACCATCACTAATCACGGTTAATTGTGGTCGACTTGAAGAGGTGCTGTATGTTTTTCATTACTGCTGCAGGACTAATCTTTATATTTGCAGGTCTTACTTTTAATAATCTGCACGTCCTCTACAGAGAAGATAACTGTCAGTATGACGAGAGGGGCGCCTAGGTTGTTAGTGTAACATATTGGGGGTATTTATATATTAGAGTAGTTTTGTAATATATTTTATTATTTATTATTGGTACTTTAACTTGTTCGTTACTGCCTTCGCGCAACTGTGACCACATAAATTCCATTGGGATTAATAAAGTATTCTGATTTTGCTTCTGAGTTAGAATTTTATAACACATCCCTCCGGCTTGCCGTACATTTTCCCACTCAATAATGCTGTAAAGCCCTCACTGCAGCATGCGGTGGGAGGCCCCTTGAGCCTGTGAGTTTTAATCCTCCAGTCCACCCCCACACACCTCAGAAGGAAGGGAAAACTATGCAGAGACAACAGCTGTGACAAACACCAACACGATGGCTTTGCTGGGTTTAAAAAAATTAATATAAATAACACAACCTTCTTTTCTCATACTCCTGCAGGGAAGGTAGCAGCAGCGAGGTGCCAATCCTGGTGGTGGGTAACAAGAGAGATCTGCAGCGTCAGCGCTTCATGCCTCGCAGGGCCGTGTCGGTTCTGGTGAAGAAGACATGGAAGTGCGGTTATGTGGAGTGCTCTGCCAAGTTTAACTGGCACGTAGTCCTGCTCTTCAAGGAGCTGCTGGGGATTGCTGTGGCACGGGGGATGCGCCAGAACCACACCTCCATTCGTTTGCAGGGGGCGCTACAGAGGAATCGCTGCACCATCATGTGACCCTCAGAGCTCCCTCCACCCCTGCCAACTCAGGAGTGGAGCGGCAGCAGAGAGAAGGACTTTCTATCAAAATGGCTGGGAAAAATAACCCCGTGGCCTCCTGCTTTACTGAGCTGATTTTTCTTAATGAGGTTTATTAGATTCGTGCGCTGTAAAAGACACTCAAATTACACACATGGTCATCCAACCACTTCCTAGTCAACTGTGTAGAAACAAGGAAGGAAATGGGAAAAAGAAAGCAGGTGACAAACAATACAAAAAGCATAGCACAGATATGTTTCTCACATCACAGGTCAACATTTCAGGCTGCGCTTCCCAATATGAAAGGTCTGTCGCTGGACCTGACAGGGCAGAAGCTGTGTTTGTGAGAGTCAAAGCGGACAGGCAGCAATATCATCCAGTCTTCCTTTTGGATTTGCCACACTCTGTAAGGTCAAAAGCAGAAGCTCACATCTAACATCACTGGATTTATTGGGATTTGTGCATGAGACCGACAGGCAAAAAGATGGAAACGATAAAAAGTGAGAGCGCTCATTTTCTGTGCCAGTTATCTCAAAAAGTACATAGATAGATATGGTTAGGTGGTGTTTAATTTTAGATTCTGAGAAGTAGCCTGCATTTTTGTTCTCTGCCCCATCCTCTATTAGAATCTTGGCCGACAGTAAAAGCTGCTTGTTCACAGAAAGGCTGTTTTAAGGTTGTCTTGCAGCAGAAAATGCTGCAGTTCCTTATCATGTACTGTAGGACTTTAATCTGCTCCCTCCCCTCACTCAGTGTCTGTTTCTGATGAATACATTAAATCCAGGGAACGGGGAACCAGCAGGAGGCTCCGGAGCCTGAAACAAGAACCTGTGTGTGTGTGTGTGTGTGTGTGTGTGTGTGTGTGTGTGTGTG